TTTTTTTCTGGGCGTTGAGATGTGAGAAATTATTGATTCAGCAACATCGATGTCTCGAGCCACGATCAAGTAGCTGACGCTACAGCCACTCAGCTATGCCTAGCCGTTGCTGATTTGTACATACAAGTGCCTGAATGGAAGGATTGGGTTGCTGAGCTATTAAATCGGTAAGTGTAGACTATGGGATACGGGCGCTTTTACCTCGTCTATGCTTGCTTTATAGAGCGCGTTCTAAGGACCAAGATTTGAGGGTTTTTTGTAGGTTCTCATCCTTGGGTGGGGACAGGACGAGGATGTTGCTGACGTTGTTACGAGTGTTCCCCGAAGAAGTTCAGTGCTCCAGAGTAGGCGAAAACCGCCGAAATGAAATCAGAAATGAGCTGGCTGCTAGTGCAGCTAGCGTCTTCACGTACTTGGTGAGCTACCGGAAACAATTCTTGAAATTTTTTGTATATAATTCTTTGTAGTCGCAAGTTCTCGAAAATTATGCCTCTGATCAAGATATGATCAAGAAGGTACTCCTATGCATGTCATGCTACTTGCAAAACCCAGCCTTGTCTACAGAGTGTCTGGCGTCGAGTCCGTTGCTGAACACTGTATTTCAAATACTGGTAAGAAGAACTTTTAGCTTATATTAGAGGTAGGATTCAATAGAAAAGAAAGCGAGATTATGTTAGGCTGCACCCAATGCTCCTGGCAGTCTGCATGATGCGGCTACGGAATGTGTTGTCTCCGCGTTAATACGGGCTGAAGACTATCAGACACATCAGGCTCTTGCGATGAATCTACAACAAGCCGTATATCAGCTTCATGGTCCCTTCAATCAAGCCGTTGCGATGGAGGACATGGACAAGTGAATTTGATTTTGTTTTCTCGGTTCCTTTTCATCGAACAGATTGATTTAGGCTGCAAAACTTTGCTCGAATTTTTGTCGAACTGGCAGAATCTTTCATTGAGAAGCTTGTTAATGATGGTAGTGACGATCCGAATAGTTTGGGAAGCATCCACACATTGGAACTAT